TCTCTGACCCACAAGGAATGCGGCTGACTGTGGTGGAGAATACCTGAGGAATGCTTCGGCTAGGCTGGCCTCCGTATTTCATGGAAATACATTAGATAAACCAGTAATTCTCAGAAGGATGTAAATTGCGCTGAAGCCTAAAAAACCAGTGAAAAACGGTTATCCGAGTTACCTAAGTAGGTGAGTAATTCTGGTATAACAGTTTGAATTTTACGAGTAAGTTGAAATGTGCAACCGTGTGAACGAATGACTCTTTGTTTTTACGAGTTGTTATATCTTATGAGGTACTTATTACTAGTTTATATTCATTTTTATATGACTAGCTAACGTCTACAATAACCTGTCTTGCTCGAATTTCTCCTTTTCTGAACAGTTCTACTAACAGAACCGATCTCTTGTGGACTGCAAGGCGCGTGGAGTGCAATGGTTAGAGGCGTTCTGCGATACACAGTGGACCGATCTCGCCCCCCAGGTTTCCCAGGCTTTGCTTCTCTCTGGGTCGACAGAGTGGTATTAGAGCCGAGGAGGATATTAGCACTGATTCGATACATTAGTAGGCCACCGCGAGTCATTGTAAATGCCAGATGTGCACTCAATCGCCTCTAAGGATGTTAAATGAAATCGAATGAGTGATGCATTCCTAAGGGATTGATCAAAATGGAGAGCTTTATTCTTTTTTATCTGCTGAAATAATGCTGAAGGATTCCGGAACTGTCTTCAGGTGACTTGCAGAATTCTTTCTTCTTTCGAGACTCCTTCGCAATTACCATGGTAACTTTATCACAGTAAGGAACAGTTCCCAAGACACGTTATCCTCCGCTGAACTCTACCCATTCAACTTTAGCAAACTAGGAACATCTAGTTCCAAAGCTATTTCTTACGCCTATCCATTGCTCATAAAATAAATCTTTTATCTTCAAAGCGTAATAATACTGCACTAAATCAACCCTCATTTAACCTCGGCGTGAATGATTAATAAATTTCCTCGGATTGCTCAGCCTACATGAGGTTGTAGTCTAACTTTTATTCAGCTAACGTTTCGACGTCTTCATCTACCTCGGAGAAGACGAACGATTGTGGACGTTGACTCGGACCGTCGGCTCTGAGCTATAGGACAACGAAGGCACCACATCGAAAAGATGAACGACTGTAGGCATTGGCTTAGATCATCGGCTCTGAAGAATGCGAAGACTTCGAAAAGTCAGACTAATACAAGTTGTACAACAATGTCGTATAAGCTGAACAATTTAAAGAAATTCTTCCAACTTTCTTCTATATCTTTTGCAAAGAACTTTACTGGAGGTCGTAATACTTGGACTGAGCACACGAATATTACAACCGACTCATCGGATTTGACCTCGGTTTCTGCTCGGACAATTGCGCAGACAAGTACCACATCAACAGCAATCCACAAAACTTTTCAGTGGTCACATTATCCTTTTCCATTTTTGTGACTCTTAGCATACGTGGTGAAAACAAGAACGTTGTTCGAGTTCTACTACATCGCTTGATGTAGTTCCACTTCTTGATGCACTTTCCAACTACGTCTTCGGCTAGAGGTTGCGGTTCCAAATCCGATAGGCTTTAGGAAGTTGTTAGTTATTTCTTGGCCAGTTTAAATCACGATGAGCTAAAAGAACGTTATAAAATTTGCTTTTTCTTACTAGCTTTATACCGACTATTTCTTAAAATGACCTTCATAGATAAAGAGATTTTTGCGTTGAAATTTTTCAAAGATGGGATGTTCTTCAACTATTTAACCCGTATAATCCCATGTTGCAAAAAAGTCTTCGGCTGCCTTTTAAATTGAGAACAGCTGCAAATACAAAATGCACCGATTAAAGCATAGTAATGAATAATATTACAAACCATGACAATGCAATGCGCCCACCTGATCGGTCATGTTCTCCAGCCAACTGGCGTCGAGCCAACGAAGATGTGGTAGACGTGTCAGAAGCGAAATCAGAGTGTCGGACGAGAGCTCGGTGCCCTTTACGTCCAGTTCTTCGATTCTGGTCTTCTCCCACTCAATTGCTTTCACTGCTGCATTGTCAAGTTCTGAAACATCGTGTTACGGTAGCGAACCATCACAACGCAATACCATCCTGATTTTTGCGCGGAAATCTACTACCCCAAAGAATTATATTGTCTAGCAGACAAAAATAACATATGCGTTATTAGAGTCATTATTGTTTCTGTACAAGACGTACAACTCCGACAGCGATACAAATATTTTATACGTTTGCGAGATTGGAAGCCCGAATTCCAAGTATAGAATCAAACAATAAAAAAGCTAAAACAGCTCTGAGATTTTGGACAATGAGTATAATTTAAGAATAGCGTCTAGTGCAGCATAAGATTAAGAAAACCACGCAGCACCTTGGTTAGAGATATCCTACAAAGCACACTTTGTCTTCAGATAACTTCTACCGCTTGGGCAACCAAGCCTTCCAACCCTACTAGGTCTACGGATTAATAACCTACTTGGCTGAACAAATAGCAACACCGAAATCGTATATCGGCAAGCTGCTGCAAGTCTTTGGTTGGGACAGATATGCATTCAATCACTTCTAACGATGTTTGGCGAAGACAAATTCATGGTGCATCCACCAGGTATTAATAAACACCCAATGCTTTATTGCCTTTTACACTTTTACGGCATGCTTTACATTAAAATGAAGAAGTTATTAGTGGTTTCCATTACGAAGAGACGAAACCGATTAGCGCGAGGTCATTATTATTTCCTCTCAACTGCACAATCATCATACACTGCAGAGACGAGGCTAGAAATGTTTAGTTTCTTTTTTTAAATTTATAGTTAAAACACAAACAGCATTTCTAAAAGATGCAAGAAAATATAGGTTAACAAAAAGAGAAAGCAGATACGGTTGGAGAATAAGCGAGATCTCCGGAAACTTACTGGTATGCGCTAAAAATAGGCACTTAAGCTTCCTACATCTTTGAAGCACAAGCTTCAGACACGTCCCGGTCACCTAAATGGTAACATGATATAGTTCTACCGTATTTAGTCACTATTTTTCAGCTTGCTAATATTTCTCTAAAATTCTATAGTCAATGACGATCCCATCAATTCTTTATCTTCTGGATAGCATTGCAGCTGAGAGTGAGTGCAATACTTAAATTTTTGCCGTAGAACTTCGATTTTGCAGCGATGACACGGGGCTAAATTTGTTGAACTAATACAAGAATTAGGTTATCTATAAGTAAATTATTGAGAAAAGCTTTCTAGAAGTTACACCTTTGTACAGTAGTTCACACAAAGGCATTCTAAATGAGCACAATTCGATGAAATCGCGTCCACATGCTCGTCCGTTATGAAAGGCACCTAAAATCCTTTATTGGCCTTTCGAAATCTTTGAGTTCAACAATGACGGAATTACGAAGTAATTGTAATAATAACTGGTAATATTGATAAATATAGGATAGGAGCCAAAGTAAACTATACCGAAGCCTTTCGGTGGAGCACGGCTTTTCCATCAGGAAGCCTAGTTAAGAGTAAACCAATCCCAGGATCCGCCACCGTCCTCGTTTCAAGCCTTTTGCATGGTGGCAAATCTCCCTCTGATCCATGCGGACTGCGACTGCCTGTGGTGGTGACGACCTGGGGCAGATTTTGGCCAGGATAACTTTGCGTCTCCAGAGAAACACAATAGCTAAACCAGCAAAACTCCAAAAAATGGAGATTACGCTGGGGCCCGCACAACTAGTGAGGAAATCTCGTCCAAGTAACCAAGTAAGTAAGAAGTCTTTCGGGTACACTACACGTTACATCAACATTTAGAATGAGTCCCATTATAAATAATGACTTAATATTCATAATGGCTTCTTATTATAAACTTTTTTGTAACTTTCGCGTTCAGTAGAGTTTTATGCGAAGTGTTTATATTTGCAAACGACAAAAATGCACTCTAAGTACTGTGCTATGGAGCAAGGAATAACCGGAATACTCACACCCCATAAGTTGACTACACGTAGATTTGGAAGATACTGTTTCAGTTTGAATACGTTCACTGTTTCGTACACTTCTTCTTCCTCATCTTCAACTTTCTCGTATGTCCCTTAAAATATTTATTCCGCAATTTAAGAAACGAGTTGATAGCAACGAACCACATAATGCAATACCACCGATACACGACGCATTATAAACTATAAAAAAAGAAAGCCTAGGATCCCTAGAGAATAGAGGAAATGTTGGAGCAAAAAATATTGCAACTATGGCTTATTTTCGTTCTTTAACGCAGTGGTCCACATGAATGTGTAACAAGAATGAGCTATTAGTCCCATATGGCTCTTTTCTGCCGTTCTTATCGACATTGAGTGTTCGTTGTTTGAATCATTTGAACATCTCGTAACCATCAGACTCACTATTTGGAGCAAGCTCTAAACTGCCAACCACCAAGCTTTTAGACCGGACACAATTGTAGTATCCATTTGTTTCCATGGAGTACTAGAGTTCCGTTATGGATTCGATTCCGTTGGAGATGGGAGGAGCAGTGATGTTAGAAGGATAATCGCAATTTTAACATTCAGATTCTTCCTGAAGTCTGGCTATGCTGTGTCTGAGAACCTACAGAACTTAGATGTTAAATGTTTCTGCTCTGTTTTTGTCCCTAAGACGCATATTATGTTTGAGCCAACTAACCTTGAATTATATGGCAGCATCTCTAACTTCAATCGCTGACACAGGTTTAAATTTAAGATTCTTTCGCTGTTTCTTTCCTCGTTATGACATTAAATAACATTAACCGACGTGGAAGCACATAGTGCGAATGAAGAGAATGTGCATCCTTGACACTCTTGAAAGGCCCACAAACTGCTCTACACGATTCGTCAGCTCTAGAGCTAAATCGTCCATCATATTGGCTTATCGATCCATAGCCGGAACATTAGCAGATAATCTTTCCGTCGAGAGTGAGTAGAGCAACAAGAACAAATCTCTTTCTCGGCAACATTGCCCTCCCCAAACTCAGAGACCATTTTTTTCATGAACACTGTAGAAACCGACAAGTATTTCTTTCGTATGCGGAATAAATACTTGGTGTCATCTATAAACTTAACATGGCGCAGCTGTTTCCCGTCGCATTTCACATCCGTGCAATCCGCATGTCGTTTTCACTATGACGCTTTCGAGAGTGATGATAAATACATCTCATAAGAAAATGGTGTACTTTCTCCTTACGGTGATGGTAGTGTCGATGTAAAAAGAGCTTTGAAATTTCCTGTATAACTCTTAAACGATCCCTTTGTGTTGAGTAGGGATCCTTCCATTGCTCTAAACTCTCATGAAGGAATTCGTCTCAGTAGAATGGAAAGCATTCTTCAAAAACCTTACGTAGTAGAAAATTTGGGGAATTCTATCCAATTTACAATCACGCCGCAGAATCCGTGAAGTGCTTCTAAGAATAACAAATGAATCCATCGGCAAAGTGTCATGGCAACACCTGCACAGTTCCCCGCAGAAGCTCATTTCACGTCAAAACTTTTTTTACAACAGTGTAATAAAAACTACAACGACGCTGAGATATTTGCAAAATTCCGGACAGGAAACAGCTGCGGTGAGGATTGAACCCGTTACTACCTTTTCCAGAGTTAACGTGTTCACTACCACACCATGCGGGTCCTTCATTTCGCCTTTCTCTTAGCTAGTTTTCTATCTAACAGTGTCATCAGCAATCACCAGTCAAAAGGACTGATTTCACATAATACCCTGCCATAAAAAAATGTAGAGAGGAACCTGCAGTAAATGAAAAAGTTAACAGTGCAATAACAGTTTTACGACACGAAAGATTCCATGCGCTGTTAAAACTTCCATCCAGCAATGTACAAACAACACAACGAAATAAACAAAACTACCTAGCTCTTGAAGATGGTTTGACATCAAACCTAAAAGCACAAGTGTTTATTAGATGCATAATTCTTCATACAAAAGCATGTAATTTATCTTAAGAACGAGTAGCGCAATGATTAGAGATGACGTGCAATACACGCCTGCTATATTAGTTGATCCTACCTTGCCTACGTCAACCAAACACGCCATTCCTCAGTGTTTAGGAAACTACTATCAATTCTCTTTGGTAAAAACATCTTCGAATCCATGAACGCCGGCGACGGTCTGTGGTGAAGACCCAAGAACGTTATATTATTGATATCTACTAAGAGTAAGGAACGAGAGTGAAGTACGTCGAATCAATACTAATCCCTGTTGGTTATATCGGAAAGATTTTCAGAAACATATGATGAAAGGGGTTTGCCAATGCTTCAATGCATGGTCACCCTCATGGACTGCTTTGTAAGCACCCAGATGAATCAAAAGTTTCCGGCAAAAGAAATGCGGACCGATTAGCATCTTGATACTCGCATCTATTCCTAAGCATTAAGTGACGACTTAAACACCACTGAAGTGCTCTATACGGGTTTCTAGAATTGTACAATAAAGGTATCATGTACAAATTCTCTGTGACTGTCGACGATTTGAATCATAGGTACGGTTTCTAGAACACGCCTACGGAACAGTATATCGGGACCTACAGACCAGAATGCGATGGAGGTGATCTCAATTAGTCATGTTCCCTTGGTTCACCCGTCGAATTTCACAAATCCAGCTCTTCCGATATTGAAGATAAGATTATCCGAATAGAGGCCATCTTGATAAAATTGGCACTAACACAGTTAACCAGTTCGTTTTTTCAGAGAGCAAGATCACCATCATAAACCTGTGTTTTTCTTCCTTTTGGGCAAAGAGTTGAAAGAATACTGTTCGCCGGAAAGTCTCTAATTCATAAGTCAACAAAGAGCTGAATAAGCAGCGTTTAACCTCCGTATTATTCGAGAGCTCGCAAAACTATAAAAAAACGATTTTAAAAAGTGAAGAAGAGGAGAAAAACGGCAATATTGGCTGAAATAGATAAGCCATCCAAAATACAATGCCCCTATGGAGAAACTAGTAGAGCTGTATTGCTTTAAACCTCGAAAATTCTGCATGGTACATTTAGAAAGTTCACGCCTGAGATTTAGCAATTTACTACTTCCATAAAGAGATGCGCCCCATCTAATGACTCTATCTCGCCAATGTTATTTACAACAGGCCTCGACAAACTCATACGAAAGTTTAGATAACATGGGACTAAAGATTAACAACCACCACCCCCTTTGCCGATATTATCGTGCTTATAACGTTTAGCAATATCTAAATGAAGGGATGCTCGACGTCGCCAAAGCGAGTGAAAAAAAAATTGCCCTTGGCTGAAGTTACAAGAAAGGATATCGAAGAGGAACGGATTTCTTAGCAGAGTGAGAAAATCCGTAATTGGAACGTTTATTGACACTCGGAAAATAAGAGACTACATGTTGGAAAAATTTTAAAGTTAGACCTAACATGTGTTTTAATTTGATTTTAACGTCTTAAGGCAGCTGTTGAACAAAAGCCGTCGGTGAGTCCAATACGATAGTCAAGCTTTTCTGTGATAACCAAGAAATGCGCTACTCTAGGTATCCCTTGAGCCAACAGAACCAGCTGAGCAACTGTGATACATACATGTGCATGGATTTTATTGACGTTGGTCTGAGTCGAATGTCCCCAGCGAGTATGGTTGGATAAACCAATAAAAGTGGCAAACACATAATGTTATTGCATTGTATAGTATTATAACTGACCGATGATGTGAAGGAGCTCCACAGACGAAATGAATGTGTAAACTTTCCTGAAAAACAAAAATACTCCTGATGACCGTTACCAGGCAATCAGCTATGACTAGCATCATTCGTTGAAAAAAAAAACCACTACCTTTGTATAACAGACTTTCCTTTAACCTCGATGTAACTAAGCAAGATGTTTGCTTTTATTAAAAAGCTAACACGAAATTGGTAAGTAACTTTATTGTGTCAACGTTTCGACGTCTTCGTCTTCATGTGAGCCGACGTCCACAGCCAAGGGACTTCGTCTAAGAAGACATGCTGTATTGTATAGTGGTGGGCAAATTAGTGTGAGAGGTGACAGCGTGAAATTTGAAGAAAATACATCGACAACACTATACGAACTCCTAAAGCGATAGGGTGAAGTTTTCCCGATAACTCTCAGCCCTCAAGCACTCAAGGACACTAGTTATTGAAATATTATTGGTGACCATCAATAAACTCTCAGACTAAGAACCTCGGTTATCAACCGCCAAGAATAAAAGTTTAAAAAATCGGTTCGTTGGACCATTAAACACCAATCGTTTTCCATTGAGCCCTCATTTCTATGGCGCTGACAAAAACTTACCTTAGAAATCCTTCGAGGAATATGTTTTCCGACAAACACAACGTCAAACTTCGTAGGCGAGATGGAAACGACTGTAGGTCGGTGAAGTCATGTAGTTGCATGGCAGTCGAGAAATCTCAAACAGTTGATTATATCATTATCTTCACTGCATGTGTTTTTTTTATAGTAACCATCTAAAATCTCTGTTCAAGCTTCCTTTATCTATCCTACGTTGCAGTTGATAACATCCAGGAAGAGAGTTTTCTCGTTTAATATGTCGGATTTCAAGCAAACCTCCCAATGCCCTAGTTAGCTTTTGCTTTTGTTTTATTTTTTGTGAAAAAATCGGCTCTATAAGAATAAGATTAAGAACGGCAGTAATTATAAATTTAAATACAGAGTTTCGAATATTAAGGTAGAAAGAATACTGAGAACATAATAACAGAAAATTATGGCGTTTCAATTCCAAGCAGTGCTCTTATGGATTTATTACTTCTTGTGCATATTATTTACTACGTCGACGTGGCGTTTTAAATAATTCAGTGATTTAAATTGCTGAAGAAATACTTGTTAAAATCATTTTCTACGTTATAAACGAAATCCTGCACCGACTAGAGTTTGGTGACTATAGATAGCATTGAAATGCACTGTAGATTTTAGTAAATCACACTAATAGTCTCTAGTTCCTAGCTATCTTTTTACTTGAATACTTGGATGCACCACCCTCACCGCTTGTGCGAGCTCCAGCATAATCTCCATTTTTTCGAAAATTTTCTGGCTTGGCCATTGTGGTTTCCTGGAGTTACGAGGTCAGCCAGGCCAAAGTCTGCTCTAGTTCGTCACCACCACAGGCCGTCGTCACCCTTGTGGGTCAGAGAGAGAATTGCCATCATGTGATTAGTTTGCTGCCAGGATGGTGAAGGATCTTGATATTGGCTTACTCTCAGTTTCCTAATCGAAACGCCGGACTGCTTCTCAGCTTGGAAGACCCTAGCAGGAGCATGAATTCCCCGCTGCACATTGCAGCCCGACACTAAGGAACATCTCCCAGTCACGATGAGGCGGTAAACCGTTGGCAGGAGTACTAATACTACTAAGTGGATTTGACATACCAAGTGTGAGATGCTGCAGTCGTGGACATTTGTTAGCCATTTCGTAAAGAACATTTGGTGTAATCAGATCCGTACTGAGCTCTGCGATTCGGAGTTCGGAGAATTGTGTGCCGATTAGATGAAGAAAATGTTCTTGATTCACTACCTAAATATTTTGCTATGAAATCACGAAACAGCCAAAAATCCTAACTGTGTCAACATATTAACTGCTACCGCAGTGGTTAGAAGTGGCATACAAAACTCATGGTTTGTGGATAAACACCCTTGAGTCAGCAAGCCTCTCATACCTTCGAGATCTGGAAATTGGCACCACACTTGTCTGGCAAAAGTTCACTCTCTACAGTTCAAGTGGGAACGCCCGCGCTGGGCTATCTCACGGCTTCGCTTCGGCCAGCACTCAGCTACTTTCATGACGATAGGAAAATTCTTAAGCACTAGCCGAACCCACTTACCAAAAGTTAGAAGATTTCCGTAGCCGGTGGATGTGAAATGTAAAATACGATAAAAATAAGGAAGTACGACTACAATGATGCTGACATATTTGCAAAACTCCGGTCAGACAAGTGTCTGAGGTAGGGATCGCGCACTCTATCACCTTTTCCGGCGCTAGCGTGTTCACCACCACACCATGCAGGTCCTTCGTTTCGCGTTTTTTTCAGCCAACTTTTAAAAGCACTTTCGGTAATCATTCATCAACGAAACGAAGATAAAGAAAAAAATGAAGGTTGTCATGAAAAAAACAATAAGCAGTGAAATATAACTCGTATGAAGTGCTGAGATATTTGCAAAACTCCGGACCACGGGTGTATACAGTGGGGAACGAACACGCGCTGTTGTCCTTACCGGGGAGCAGCTCACTTCACCACTACACCATCCGGGTCCAGTGAATAAAAATAAGCAGTGAATAAAAAGTTATTACATTGTGATTAATAGCACAGCTGCACCTTAACTGAGTTCAATGCCGACGTGTGCTCCCCAGATCAATTCTATTGACGGGTGATTGCTTAAAGCGACTATAGAACACGGCTGAGAGGAAGGGGAAACGAAGGACACGGTGTAGTATTGAACACGTTAACCCTAGGAAATGGTAATAACGAGGTTCAATCCCCGTCACAGGCACCTGCGGTTCGATGTTTTAAAAATATTTCAACATCATTGTAGTTGTATTTCACATTATATCCTGCCATAGGAAAGCAATAGTCAGCAAATAAAAAGTGGCTAAATTGCAATGAAGAAATATTCAAAACACAGAAGAGTTCTCTGAAGCACCAAGAAACGCCATCGGTCTAAGCACACTGCATTGAGTAATTACCTGAATACCACCATAATTTGGTCTGAACGACACGAATTTCCAGAGCAGAGGACTACAGGCAATGCTTCTCCATCGTTTACAAACCTGGCCCGATTGAAGGATCTGAATATGGAACCAACAAATAAACGGGAAGCATTAATTTTCAAACCGTATAGCTCATAATGTTACTAAACGCACAATCCAGACATGAAAAGAGAAGTTCATTTTGCCGGTAAGAACACATGAGCAAATGAGAAGACATGAATGAGCAGTTACTTGTCTAGTGGTGTCTGCTTTCCAAATGCGAACAACTTCGTGATTTTTTGACGGGTTTGTGACAGAATTTAAAAAATATAATACAAAAATCCAATTCAAAAACATTAACGACTAAGGCAAATAAGTCAACAATGTAACTAACCTGGTAAGGTGACAGGTAGGAAAATATCTGTTGAAGTACTTTGTCTGGCAGCTTTTCGATAGTCTAAATTTATACATAGTAAGAACGCAAACTTTTACCACCTCGAAACGAAAGCTCTTTATCATTCAGTCTCGCCCTCCGTCCTACATGAGGTTGGGACATGACAAAGCAAAGAATTTCACTTTTTTCTTTGAGGATTTCCTTTTCTGTATGTCCCTATTCGTGTCACCGACATGTTGATCCGATTTTGGCTTTTGATCAGCATTAATATCGTGTAAGGTGAGCCGCCGACTCATTTCCAAAAATTCTGCCATCTTTGTCACTGAAATAGGAATGAGCAGAGTCGAAACAGGAACCAGTTGATTCTGGAGGGTTCAGAAGCTTGGCGCAGAAGGTTTCAACGGGAACAAGCACGGACGACTAGTGGGGAATCGCTGGAAATCAATCCACAACGCATGCACGCGTGCTGTTACACAACGTAGGACCCCTTCGAGGATATATTCGTACTCACAGATGTCCATTTCTATCCACTATATCCAAACGAAATCGAAGACACCCTATTCTCATGTTGCAAAATGTGAGCAGAAAACACCATCCGAGTAAAGAACTACATAGCCATGAACGTAAGTGCGGCGATGTGAAAAACAACAAGATTGATGTGTTGATGAATCAACCAACATCTCATCAGACAACTGTTAATCTGTACGCAAGATTAACTATTGGTATAAACTTCTTCAAGCTTAACAAGATGCTGCCGATCCACGACGGAGGTATCACCTGCTTCAATGAGAGGAAAAACAATCGGTGAACGACAAACGCCGGCAAGCTCCTCGCGGGTGCTTGTAGGCCCAACGGACGCGCCGGGATATTAGGGCACCGCGGTTGACAACACTCGGCTCAGATTTCGTTCCGGTATAAGGAAATTGCTTGCTTGAAAATACAAATTTTAAACGAAAAGGAGATACAGGAATTGGATCAGAGCTGATTTTAATGCGACATTTTACAGTTTACAAGAGAAAAATAGCAAAAATAAGACGTATAAAAGGAAAATGTAAGCGAAACACGAGCTGGGTGATTGGAGGTGATTTAAGATATCTGTTTTCGTAGAATTCACCATACTTTTTGACGCTAAAGATTTTAACCGTACCTCAATATCTCAAAATTTAAGCTGAGAATTAGATATGTTCAGGGATCACAATCACAAAATACACCCAAGCACAGTTCTAAAGGGATCACAATTTTCGTGAAAAAACTTCATTTACATTGAAGACTGCCGTTTTGTCACCTACAAGTGAACACTGTTACATTTCTAGCATATTAAACACATTTCTGGTGCGCATTGAGCACAATGCATTCTACACGAAAATCATTGGTTCTAACTTAAAACTGTCATATCTCACCTAGTGCTAAGTATTTCTTGATCTAAGTGGAAATCGTCATTATCTGTAGACAGTAGTTCCAGACATTATGCTTTATTCCTCGCAAAATGTGAGTTTTCATATCGTATTAGGCAAAATTTTAGTTTCCGAAGCCTAAAAAGATTGATCTTGCTTTTTTCGTCGTCCAAGATCCCATTCAGCACTTCGTTCACCACGACATAATGGTTTCCACAATGTATATTTGGTCTTTGCAGCTGAACGGAAAATTTTGGTGTCTTCAGAGAATACATTTGACCTTAATTCGACAAAATAAAGTCTCTCTTGCAAGCATACCATGTTTTAAAATTCTCAACTATTCTCGTTATGGAAAAGAAAATTGGTAGCTTTGTCAAAAAAACCAGGTTCGAACATTAAGTGTTGAACTCAACATTAAAGAAATATAGGACTTCAGCACAATTTTCTTAACATTAGATGGTAAGTTTTCACGACCCAATTCTCAAATACATTCGACAAGCTCAGAAAGGGAATACGTGCAAGGAAACCACAATCGAAGTGCAGTCAATGAAATAAAGGCAAATGATCGGTTGTAAGGGGAGGATCGAGAAAATTCATCCGTTTCTCTTGGTCTCACCTTTTTCTGTAATCATTATGAATCCGCTTTGAAAGACAGGTAATGTGGAAAGTAAAGTGTGGAGAATTTTCAACGCTCGTTAGTGACAACACAAAGGTTAAAGAACGACATCGATGATCTGTCTCAAAGAGGTTCAACACTTAATGTTCATAGTGCACATATCTCTGCAATGCACGCAGTCTCTACTTCGATTCTGCTCGAATAAATCTTGGACTCCCTCGGTCTGCAATTTAGTGCCAAAAGAGTAGCTTGATTGACTGGTAGGACACCGCAAGTCATTGTGTAGGCCAAATATAGTCGAACAAATGATCACACATCGGCACAGGGCAAATATCCTATCCTTCTCTGTCTTTTGTCTTCGTCGATAATCTAGCAGAGATAACTCGAAATATCGGCTTTCGATTAATCTCGACATTAATTAACTTCTACTAGTTTACGACGACGATAGCAAGTGAACTATTCGCGGGAATAGCTCTGATCGATAAAACTAGCTGAGAGAGAGGCAAAAGGAAAGACCCGAATGGTGTGGTGGTGAACGCGTTACTCTCCGGAAAGGACAATAGCATGTTCGTTTCCCACCGTAGACACCTGCGGTCCAGAGTTTTGCAAATATCTCAGCAACGTTGTGGTTGTACTTCCTTTAGAACCCTGCCGTGAAAATTGTAGTAGATAGAAAATAAAAGGTGAAATATATGCGGGAAGTCTGAAACAGTACAGACGAAAATGCCTCTGAAAAGGAGAATTCACCGAAGGGTTAGCCACCGAAAATAAAATGCGAGTTATTCATCTTGCGTCGGCTCAGAAGAGGAGATAGAGACCAACGAAGAAGTGCTGGAGACAATAAAACGGATATGTTATAAGCCATATAACAAAGTCAAAATGTAAACAATATTCCAAAAATTGACTATCCTTTAACCTTGGTATGAGCAATCAACATGTGTCTAAATTGTTAAGCTTGCAAGAGATTGATAAATAAGCTTTCTTCGGCTAACGTTTCGACGCATTCATGTTCCACTGCAAAGAGCAACGCCGCGTGAGGTTGCTTCACTTGAGCGGTGTTCTACTGAAGAAGGTTCAACTCGATACAAACAAAACACCGTACCGAAGGTACGAAGAACTGTGGACATTGACTCGGATCACTGGCTTTGAGGAAGACGAAGATGTCGAAACATTAGCCGAATAAAGCTTACTCATCAACTTCGTCTAGGCTCAACAGTTTAAACACATTTACTTACTGCCCACTCGTTTTTCTCGTCATGGTAACGTAGTATGTGACTAAAGGTCGAGCCTCCTGAGCCTCAAGAAAAATTCGAACAGCCGTCTACTCCCTACCCTTTCCGAAGACTCACGTGCTATCCTGCACACAAATCGAGTCCACTGCTCTACGTTCCTCTCGAGCTTTCCCCACATGTCGGAATCCTTGTGATAGTGTCTCAGATAATACCTTCCATGAGAAAAAAGAATAGAATGAAAGGCAGTAAATAAGATTTAAAAACTGTGGTTTCGACTGAAGCTTCAGCTTAACAGAGTTTGATCCAGATTTGTGTTCGCCAGATCATTTTCCTTGGTGGATCATTGTTAATAGCAAGTTAAAAAATAATCGGAGCTCACTATGTAGATTCACCCAAAGGTTAGCTCCCATCGTGGAACGGAGGTGTTCCTTGGTGTCTAGCTGCGATGTACAGCAGGGAATTCATCTCCCAGCAAATCCGGCCAAGCGGAGAAGTGCGGCGTTTCCATGCGGAAGCTCACTAAGAGCAAACGAATACTAAGAGTCACTGCCGTCTTGGTATCAAAGTAGTCGCATAGTGGCAAATCTTACGCTAATCCACAAGGGCGGCGATTGTCTGGGGTGGTGGCGACCTGAGAAGGGCTTCTCTAAGGTTGACCTCAGGACTCTAGGTTTTTTACCTACACATTACCTAAACTAACAAATCTCCGGCATCAATAACTGCACACTGCGGGCTTCCACCTATGACGTCGGGCGGTGAAGCAACCAGTAAGAGGCGATCAATTCTTGGGTTGCACAGGACATCATTGTAAACAATAGAGCATACTCGCGACATAACATGAAAACTGCTTCTTGTTCTGCACTTATAACACCAGAACAGTTTCTTCAGAAGTTGAACTTTACTCTCCTCTTTAGGCTGTTAATCGCTATGAATTCCTTCGTATTTTTGTTGAGCAAACGCGAGGTGTTATTATTCTTTGTTCACGATTAAGCTGACGTTTCGGCGGATTTCGCCTTCCTCAGAGCCACTTCCTATGAGGTTTCCACTAAGTTTTTTTTCTGTGAATTCAATTTTATCGCTCTACAAGAGACGAAAATCAGGATTTCCATCATGCGCCAATTACATGAAGGAACAGTTACCATTCGAGGAGGAAAGTTTCCGTTGCGAAATGTTGGAAGTGTTCTCTGGGTGTTTTATCAAACATCCAACTAGTTCTCATCTAGTCATCTCACACGAAACCCTTTCACGGCGCTTGACCAATCATCGTCTCCAACTTGCGCGAGAAAAGAAAATCAGTATCATGAACTGTTGCTCACCAACTTGTACAGCCGGAGAAGACGATCTGGAAGCCTTTCACGTCCTGGTAGAGGAAGTAATCAGCATCGAAAAGTCTTTCTATAAATTCGCTGCTGCAGACTTTAATGTCAAATTGGAAACGGCTAACGAAAATGAGTACTGGAGCGGGAAATTTGGAATAGGAGAGCTAAATAAGAATCTAAAACATCTTTCAGGATTCCTGCCTGTAGAACGTTTCCTTCCATAGAGATCCACTTTTCGAGAAGAGAGAAAATCATGGATGGATGTGGGAGTCTTCTAACGCAACGATTCATGCAGAGATCGATCATATCCTCACAAACAGAAAATAGTTTTTCTTTGACACCACAGCAGTACTTGAATTCTGTACAGGATTTGATCACCATCTTTTCAGTGCGACGATTCGATTCAGCCATAAGCGGAACAGAAGTACGGTCATCGTAATAAGATAAAGGAGAAAGCTAACGGCGTTGAACAATCTCTGAGGGATGCGTCATTCATTCGACTTCATTAGGCATTGTTGGAGGTAGCTGAATGATATCTAACCTTTACAACGACCCGCGGTGGTCCACCCATGTATCGAACCAGTGCTGCTATCCTCCCAGG